TGATTGCACAACAATGCAAATGCACTTAATGCTACTGAACTGAACACTTAAAACAATTAAAGTGGCAAAATTTTATGTTGTACATATTTTACAATTATTTTTAGAAGTCCCTCTTCATGGAGAGAAAGGAAGTAGGAAAAAAGACAAACACCGCCTCCCCAAATCATGGATTAAAAAGTAGGGATGCAGTCACCTCCTCTGCCTTCTAGCAGTGCCCTCCTCTATGCTTTGGTATAGAGGTCAAACTGGGGGCAGCTGGAGGTAAGATTGCTGCCCCCAGTTTGACCTCATCTGTAACAACTGCTGTTGGAAGAGAGTCAGCTGCTGCTAGGAGCTCTCCTAGAAATTGAGGAAGTCCCTCCTCGAAGTCCCAGCAAACCTCTCCTCACATTTCATTGGCTCAAATTGCGTCTCATGCCCATTTGTTACTCAATCTCTGACAAAGGGGATGAGAGTCCCATTAGGCCAATCAGGCCCAGACTTGGAACCGAACAGGGATCAGGCTTCCCTTGAGCAGTAGGTTGTGGGAGAGTAGGTGAGGAGAGAGGGGTTCCTACCCAACAATGGGCCTGTTGGGAACAGGACAGGGAAAATGGATAGGCAATCTAGCATCTGCAAGCTGCAGACTAGCAGAGCGGAACTGCACTGTCTGGTACTTACTTGGGTATTCCCAAAGCCTCAAGAGGCAAGAAGCTGAGAGTCAGAAGCCAAGTATTCGGGGCACCTGGGTGGCTCAGTCGTTAAGCATCTGCCTTCGGCTCAGGTCATGATCCCAGAGTCCTGGGGTCGAGCCCCACATCAGGCTCTCTGCTCGGAGGGAAGCCTGCTTCTCCCTCTCCCACTCCCCCTGCTTGTGTTTCTGCTCTTGCTATCTCTCTCTTTGTCAAATAAATAAATAAAATCTTTAAAAAAAAAGAAGAAGAAGCCAAGTATTCCATTCTGTGACACCTCCCATGCCTACCCACCATCCCTCCCCCCCCGCAAAAATAAAAGTCCTGAGTAAATTCTATTCAAGCAATTGGTGTGAGCTCTGCATGGCTGAATCCTTAGGCACTCTAGCCCTGCTCATTGTACCCCATCCCTACCCCAGCCACCACGGAGCCTGTTTTGCTCAGGGATCCCTGGTGTTCCCCAAAGATACTCCCTGCAGGACTGATGCCTTCTATGTCCTCAAACATGCAACTGGATTGATTAGATAGTCACTAAACATGTGGAATGAGGCATGAGACAAAATTACATGGATTTGGGGGAGACTTAAAATGAATGTAGGAAACCCAAATGTTACAACCCACTAAAAAACAGTAGAATAAACTTAAAATGAAAGTAGAATTCAGTATCTAGTGTTCTTTCAGGTCTGGGAGCCCAGAAAGAAGTTTTATAAGAAGTTTTGAAAAGCCAGAGAAAATTGTACAAGCTCATCTAATCCAACAGAGATTCTTTCTAAAATAAGAAGTGAAAAGGGTGGCTTCCCTAGGGGAAGGATGGAACCTTTCTAATAATATTTGAGTGTAAGTTCACAGGTGCAGAAATGGAAGGGGGTCTGGGAAAGATAGTTAAAAATCGACATGTTGTGCAACAAACAAAACAGATGTGAAGGAACATTTGTCTGAGGACTTTGTACCTGACCCCCTCCAGTAAATATGCCACACATCATTTGAATACCTTTTAATGCTTAAAAATCTATAATTTTCAGAAAGTGTGTCTATGACATGGTAACGTGCGCTTACTTATTTGGTAAAGTGTGTTAATCACTTATTCAACAAATATTTTCTAAGCACCTACTATGTACTAGGAACAGCCTTGATATGTGTGTCTCTTATATAAATGTGGTATTATAAATGTTTAAGAACCATCTGAAGTGAAAATATGTTTTTTCCATACTCTTTAAATATATCTACACCAAGGCATTTCAATTAGTTTTACCTGCTTGTTTCTTTAATTGTGCATCGAAAAATTGGACATTAAATTGTTTCTAGATTAATTTCAAGGTTTGTAGCAAAATTATAGCTTTTACAGACATCAAAGCTATAGGTCAGAGCTATCGTAAAATAATAAGCAAATATACTAAACTAGGAAAAGAATGTGGCCATTTTTAATGGAGTGTTCTTGTTCATTATTAAATATCAGAAAAGGATAAGTAATATAAATTCTCATATCAGTCATTTTTTTTGAGAGAGAGAGTGAGGAGGAGCAGAGGGAGTGGGAGAATCTTAAGCTTAAGCTCCATGCCCACCACGGAGCCTAACACAGGGCTCAATCTCAAGACCCTGAGATCATGACCTGAGCTGAAATCAAGAGTCAGATGCTTAACCAACTAAGCTACCCAGGCACTCTCATATCAGTCATTTTTACTTATGAAAATAATTATTGTGATAATCTTCAGTTCTATTGATCTGTTTGATAAGTTGGTGTTTTATTATCTTATTACTTGTACAAAGAATTTCTTTGTGGACCTGAGTAGATATTCCTCTGAAGAAGATCTACAAAAGGTCAACAGGTACATGAAAAGATGCTCAATATTGGGGTACCTGGGTGGCTCAATCAGTTAAGCATCTGACTCTTGATTTCAGCTCAGGTCATGATCTCAGGGTCATGAGATGGAGCCCCATGTTGGGCTCCACACTCAGCGGGAAGTCTGCTTAAAAGATTCTCTCCCTCTGCCCCACCCCCGCTCTCTCTCTCCCTCAAACAAATAAATAAAATCTTTTAAAAAAAGAAAAATGATGCTCAATATCACTAGTCACTAGGGAAATACAAATTAAAACGACAGTGAGATATCACTTCATACCTGTTAGAATGGTTATCATCAAAAAGATATGAAATAACAAGTGTTGGCAAGGATATGGAAAAAAGGGAACGCTTGCGCACTGTTGGTGGAATTGTAAACAGGTACAGCCACTATGAAAACAGTATGGAGGATCCTCAAAAAATTAAAAAGAAAACTGCCATATGATTTTATGCCAGCAATTTCATTTCTGGGAAATATCCAAAGCAAATGAGAACACTAATTCAAAAAGACAGATGCACTCCCATGTTCATAACAGCATTATTTACAATAGCCAAGACATGAAAACAATCTAAGTGTCCATTGATGGATGAATGGATAAAGAAGTGGTGATATATATACATACAATGGAATATTATTCAGTCATAAAAAGAAAAACAAGGAAATCCTACCATTTGTAACAAGGATGAAACTTGAGGGCATTGTGCCAAGTGAAATAAGTCAGAGAAAGATAAACACTGTATGATTTCACTTATATGTGGAATCTAAAAACAAAGCAAAACAAATTCATAGAGTAAAAGATCAGACTTGTGGTTACCAGAGGCAGAGGATGGAGGGGGAATGGAGGAAGATTATCAAAAGATACAAACTTCCAATTGTAAAACAAATAATTACTAGGGGTGTAACGTACATGATGACTATAGCTAACACTGCTGTACAACGTTTAGAAAAGTTAAAAGAGTAAATCCTAAGAGTTCTCACCACAAGGAGAAATTTTTTTCTTCCTTTTCTTCTTATTGTATCTATATGAGAAGATGGATGTTAACTCTACTTATTGGGGTAATCATTTCACAAGATATGTAAATCAAGCCATCATGCTGTATGCCTTGAACTTCTACAGTGATATATGTCAATTATTTTTCAATAAAACTGAAAAAAAAAGAATTCCTTTGCAAACAATGTAAGCTAATTTTCATGTGCTATCTGATATATACCTATAATAGAAATTTGCTATATTTTACTGTGCTTTATAACCTTTCATAAATTGAATTTTTCATTTTCAAATTTAATCAATTCAAATTATTTATGGCTATAATTATGTTAAGTAAGAAAGTGATTGAAGTTAAGATTTTGAAAAGCTGGCCATAAATTGAACAACATTAGTTTTAAATGGAACTATTCCATTGTGGATTTTATTATTTAGCCATATGAATAATACTGATAGAAGTTATCCATGGTGAGCATAATCATTTTTATTTAATTGAGTTTTACGTTTATTGATACACACTCCTGTTTAAATATACCTATAAAAAATACTATTCTCTGTGAACTATGAGAGACGATGGACTCTGAGAAACAAACTGAGGGTTCTAGAGGGGAAGGGGGGTGGGAGGATGGGTTAGCCTGGTGATGGGTATTAAAGAGGGCACGCTCTGCATGGAGCACTGGGTGTTATGCACAAACAATGAATCATGGAACACTACAACAAAAACTAATGATGTAATGTATGGTGATTAACATAACATAATAATAAAAAATACTATTCTCTGGATGGCTGTGGTGCAATTGTGCAATCCTTATGCAATGTCAATCTAGGAAAAACAGTGTGGAGTATTTAATGCATCGAGTTTGGGTGGATACCTGCCAACCTGAATAAAATTATGTTTACTGGGGTCTTGTTGGCAACAAACCAATTTCACTGCTACACCTACACCTTTAAATATAGTTCTGGGACTATACCATTGGTGTCTGGGAATGCAATTTAGGAGGATGCCAAATACTGGGAGCAAGAGCCCCAAACTCAATATCCTTGGAGAAGAAAAAACTGCAATCTGATGGAGGCTGTGGTTGGATTACTTAAGGATTCAGTTTTATCCTTATTTTGACATGTGATTAGTAAGTGATGAAAGGAGATAAACAAATATCCGTCTAATGTTAAAGTTCTGTGCACTTTCCACCATATGTTGCCTTGGCTATGTATCACCAGGAATTTGGTCCAGGTCAAAGCAACATGGATTTGGAGTCCATTCTTCCTACTTACCCACCCCCAGTGATCCTAGACCCAATTTGGACATTGTGTTTGGTTAAGTAGCATTTCCATCTTTCCCCTTTATTACAAATCCCTCTTGCTCTCCGTGTCTTTCAAATCACTGTCTTCTGCCCCACTCCTCTGATTATGTCTAATTCAGTTGGAAAGTTAACTTTTCTGATATAACTTTTCATTGGCAGTGGGGTGTGGTAGAAAGAGGAACTGGCTTTTTTTCATCAGAGACATCTGGATGAATCAGTACACTTGATTTTGGGCACTTCAGTGCCCACTTGATTTGGGGCAACTATAACTTCCTAATGTAGTCATTGACAAAATGGAGATGATGATGATGATGATGATGATGATAATGATGATGATAAATGGGAATAATAATATCATCAGCCTGTGGTATTAAGGAGACCCCATACTCCAGTAACACTGACTCTTGCCCCTACTCTTTGATACCATGCTCCCGTGTCACCAGATGAAACCAGGAGACTTCCCAGTTTATTGCTTGCCTCATACGTTTGCATATAGTGATTTCTGGTACACAGTTTTCTGGGGTTTTTTTTAAGATTATTTATTTCAGAGAGAGAGAGAGTGCACATGCAGGGAGTGGGGGAGGGTCAGAAGGAGAGGGAGAGAGAAAGTCAAGGAGACTCGGGACCGAGTGCAGAGCCCCACGTGGGGTCAACCTCACCTGAGATCAAGACCTGAGCTGAAACCACGAGTCCAAAGCTTAGCCGACTACACCACCCAGGCACCAGAAAAAAACAGAAAAAAGATAAATATTTAAAGGATTTCAGAATTAGGAAGTCTTTTTCAAAGCATAAAAGCATTGGAAGAAACAAAATGTAAGTTGCTTTTATATAATCCCTGCCCTATTAAAGCTAATATTCTAGCTATTCTCATTTCTGTATACTTCTAGGTAAACTCTAGAATAATTGTGTTATCATCCCCCTGAATAATATCATCAGTACTTTGACTAGGATCATGTCAAACTTGTAGCACTATGATCAAAGCTGAAGCCAGGACCTGTATCAGCAAAACGAAGGTTTGCCCAGAAACCCCTAGCAAGTTTCTGCTCACATAGCAGAACCCAAAACTGTCACAGAAATGACTACCTTTCTTAGCAAAGGAGGCTATAAAAGATATTTAGCCTCCAGCTTCTAGAATGCAGGTGGAAAAGGGAGATGAGAATGGATGTTGAGTGAGCTCACCAGCAGGATCTGACACAAAGTCAAATGGAAGAGGACACTGTGGCAGGAGATATTTCCATGAGCACCTGGGCAAGACCAGACACAAAGATTAATGCTGTGAGATGCAGGCAACATGATGCACATTGCTGAGAAGGCCACTCTGCCCCTATTTGTTGCAGGCAGCCAAGCAGCTTCAATACTCTGAGGACGGGGAGCAGCCACTAGGGAGAGTAACTGTGCCTTACAGATCAAAAAAGTCTGGGGCAGCCAGCAGAGCAGTGGTCTTGTGAGAGGCCTCTCTCAAATGCCTGTGGGTATTGCATCTTTGGGCAAATTCTGCTGGCTGCCTACCCAACAGCCATGTCCCCTTCTCCATCGCTAACAGAACAACAGTTTTGTTCTGTCAGCCATGTTCCCAGCCATGGATGAATGAATTCATCCTATCCATGGATGAATCATGTTTGATCAAAATCCATCATGCAGTTGCAGTCCCCCTTGGACAGTGATTAGTCTAGAGGTGGGCAATATGACCCAGCTCTGGACAATGAGATGCAAGGGGAAGTCTGCTGGGACTAAGTTCTAGAAAAATATGTCTTGCCAGAATTAAAAAAAAAAAGTACATACCCCTTTCGTCCCTGCTCCTTCCTCCTGCCTTGAACATGGTTATGTGTGGACATTATGCTTGAAGCTATGGTTCTTCTGACTTGCATCCACAAGGCAACAGTCTAAGAATAAGAAAAATTTTCCCAGGTTGGCAAAAGTGGAACCAGAGCCTAGGTCCTTGATGATTTTGAGAAAGCCAGTGTGCATCACTCCTGGAACTGCCTACCACTGGAATGATGATGGGAAACAATTAAATGTCTTTATCATTTAAATCACTGTTGGAGTTGTTGTATTACTTGAAACTGACAGGATTTCTGTTACAACCCTTAAAAAGGAGAACAGAGCAGAGCATTGTGAGTTGGCTTGTTCTTGAGTAAAGACCTGGGAGGCAGAAGATGTCAAGAGAAGCATATGAGCTAGCAAAATCTGGGTATTAATATGAATGTGACCTCTTCCCGATACCCACAGGCAGTGAGTCAAGGTATACCTAAAAAGTAATTTGAGAAGAAATGACATTTTTATACAATACAGCCTTCCATTTTAGAAAGATAATATATTTATCAATTTTTTAAATCTCTTCTATCCCTAAGTTTTACATTTTTGTCATATGCGCCCCACCTATGTCTTGTTAGGTTTATTCCTAGATATTTTGTGTTTGAGGATGTTGTCTCTCTCAAGATGTTGGGGTCCCCTGGGGCTCTGTCTTCTGCCCTCTTTCCACCCCACAACTGCCCTGAATGATACCTCTTCCTACTTCAACCTTCTCTTTCTCCATTCTGGGAAAATATCCTTAACCTCCTAGGTACATAGACTTTTTCTTGGATTGTTTTTTGGGGGTCATCCAACCCTGATTGACAGGAAAAGGTAACATTTGGAATCCAGTGAGCTTGAGGTTAAAACATGTCATGTCAGCAATTGCTAAACAACAGTACATCAGATTAGGTCAAGAATTTGTGAAATGTTTGTGCCAGTGAAATGTCAAAGCACAAAGTGCGTGAAAGAAAAAAAATCTCTGTGCCAGTCAAAATGTCATTCTGCCTTGCAACAAGTAATTTATTCCTTTATCGCCATTCTTGTTTCACGTGTATTAATGTTGCCTCTAAGTAATTGAAATTAATAATGGCATTATCAGTGGTTAAGGGCAAAAACTAAAGAGCTAATTTAGAATCACTCAGTCAATTTGGGCTCTTTTTGAAAATGGAATTTGTTAACCCAACCTTAAAAATAAGCCCTTACCTGATTGTCCAAAGCATTCACACTGCAGCCATTATTTGTTCTGTTAATTTTTGTAATATGTAAAAACAAGGCACAGAAGATAGTAAAGAACAACTGTTTTTTTAAATGCTGTATCTGAGGAATTGCAAACACGATAGAAATGCTATAGATATGATTACCAGATCAGGTAGCCCTCAGCAAAGTAATGCCAGTAGCTTGTTGAGTTGATTATGAAGCGAACCTCGATAATGTTTGTCACCATTTTCCTACTGGTTTTAATTTCTAAATTGGCAGAGCTTCCTAGAGAACATGGCTTCTCTCCATGCCATTTGCTTTCTCAGAGAGCAGCTTTCTGTTGCACAGTCATGGCCAAACAGTGGGAAATAGGTCCTGCTCTTGATGTTACAGTTGCCCGGTTAATAAACCAAAATGTTTCTCTGTAGACATCAGGGCCAGAACTAGGGTGAGGCTATGGAGGTGCCCAGAACTGCCCTTCAGGAGGCCCCCATTCTCAGGTGCCACCCTGCACTTACATGGCCCTTAGGTGACTGCTTCCTTAAATGTTCCCTAGGCACTGCACTTGCCCCACCCCTGTCCTGGTCCTGGTAGGGCATTACTGTTGCCCTTGGAATTAAAAAAAAGGACCTGGGAGTAAAGAACAACTCTGTAAGTCTTCCAACAATGGTAACTGAGTTCCTACCCAATTATATTAATTCCACATATTAAAAAATGAATAAGAATTTGAAGAGTAATAAGAAACCTGCAATTGCTAAGATGAGAAAAACTTCTCAAAAAGAGAGTCCAATTAATGGCTCAGAATGGGCCCAACAGAGTGTAAGGACCATGTGGGACCACCATGTTGCAGAGTTTGGGTCTCATGTTTTCAAATTTGGAGCTCAACTTTATCAGCACAAAGAGAGATGGTCAGATTGAGGAAAATTGACAAGAGAATTACAAATAATCCAGAATTCCAATTCACTAAGTTAGAGTTGTAGATATTTTCCAGTGACCTTAGTGTTCAATGTTCAGGACACCCCTCCCTAGAGTCAGGGCATGTGGAACAAAGTGTTAATCATCAGACAGTTGAAAATGAGCATGGAAAGAGAACAAAGCGAGGTGGGGGCTGTCAATGACAGGAATATTTCATCTAGACCAGGGAAAAGTCCTGCCTCAAGCCAGAATACACTGTGTATCTCTTCACTCAACAAATATAAATTATGCATCTACCATGTTACCAGCACACCCTGTCATCTCTACTTTCAAAATGAATTCTAAATCCAGTACTTCCTGCCATCTCCACAGTAACTAAGTCAAGCTCCATCTTCCTACACCTGGGTTAGTGGAACAAGCCCCCCAACTAGTCTCCCGGTATCCACCCTCTCCCTGATATAGTCCATTCTTTATCCACCTGTCAGACTGCTCCTTTTAAAATGTGAGTCAGATCATGATGTACCTCAGCTCAAAATCCTCCACTGACTTCCAACCTGTTGGAATAAAACCCCAAATCCCTTTCTTGGGCTGCAAGGCCTATGTGATCTCACCCCAGCTCTCTGATCTTATTTCCCACCACTTCCCACCTCACTCATTCCACTCTAATTACAGATGTTTCTTTCCATCTCCTGGGACACTCCAAGATCACCTTTGCCTCAGGGCCTCTGCACATACCTCTCCTACCTGAATAATTTATCCCCAGATATCTGCATGGCTCACTGTGCTCAATGCTTAAATGTCTATGCTTAACTGTCCCCTTATTGTGGAAGCTTCCATGACCACCCTATCTAAAACAGTATCCTTCAATCACTTCCTGTCCCCCTACCCTGAAGAATTCTTCCTTATCCATCTGACGAGTTTTCTGTCTTTCCCCAGTAGAAGGTAAGCTCCATGAATTTTACCTGTTTTTGTTTATTGCTATATCTCTAGTTCCTAGAACATTGCCTGGAACATGATAAATGCTCCAAATATATTTGCTGATTTAAGGGTGAATACACGTAGGTTATGTCAGAATTCTGGTCACTAGAGAGGAGTATTGGTTGGTGTTTTGGGACTTTTCTCTGGTCTCAATTAAATAGCTTTTTGGGACTCTTGATCTACCTTTGCTTTTTTTTTTTCAGCTCTTTTTCTTAATGTATCAGAATATGTAATAGGTCACTGGCATATTTATGATTATCTGATTTTTTTTTTAGTTGCTCACTTCTACATCAGTTGAGTTGTGACAGGTGAATGTAGGGCAGCCATTCAGCAGGGTCTATAGGCATATCAGAAAACACAGCTGACATGTCTAGCATATATATAAGTCATACCAATCTTTTTTTTTTTTTAAAGATTTTATTTATTTATTTGAGAGAGAGAATGAGAGAGAGCACATGAGAGGGGAGAGTGTCAGAGGGAGAAGCAGACTCCCCGCTGAGCAGGGAGCCCGATACAGGACTTGATCCCAGGACTCCAGGATCATGACCTGAGCTGAAGGCAGTCGCTTAACCAACTGAGCCACCCAGGCGCCCCCCCAAGTCATACCAATCTTATACCTTAGTTTACACAACTGGGATATTGCCTTAGATTATTGTCTAATAATCTTCAATCCACCTTCTTCAATGTGGCCTCTTCTCTATCTTTAGTTGTGGGGTTTGTTCTGCCAGTCCTCAGGTGGTTTTTTTTCTTCAATTTTTGGGGTATTTAGGATGATTTGAGAGTTACCTAGTTGCATTCGTGGGAGGAGGCGAGTCTAGGGTCCTCCTACTCTGCTGCCACCTTCCCCTCCTCCATTCTCCCGTTGCTTGCTCCACGCCCAGCATGGAGCCCAACGTGGGGCTTGAACTCATGACTCTGAAATCAAGACCTGAACTGAGATCAAGTGTCAGATGCCTAGTTGACTGAGCCATCCAGGTGCCTCTCCTTTTGCTTTTTGATGGACTAGGTAAGGTATGTGATAGGAAAAGAGGGATCAAGATAAAACCAAGATTTTTAGCAAGAGCAAATGGAAGAGTGGAATTTCATTTCTGAGTCAGGGAGGAGCAGATTTGGAAGCTGGGACCTGAAAATCAACATTTTTGAACATATGAAGTTTAGGATGCCTATTGGACATCCAATGGAGATGTTCACTAGGCAGTGAGATATAAGAGTCTGTAGTTCAAGCGAGAGATCCAGGCAGAGCATAGACATTTGCAGCATACGGAAGGTATTTAAAGTCATGGAAATCTGTTGATCCTCTTGGGGGTAAGCATAGACAGGTAAGAGTAGAGTTCTGAGGACTAAACCCTGAGACGCTCTAGCATTAGAATTCAGGGAGATGAGAAAATAGCAGTGGAGGACACTATAAAGGGGAGCAGAGAAAAAAAGTTACAAGTTGAAGAAGGACAGGGGTCTAGGAAGGATTTTTTTTTAAAGCATTCTTTTTTTTTTAAGATTTTATTTATTTGAGAGAGAGAGAGAATGAGAGAAAGAGAGGATGAGAGGGGGTAGGGTCAGAGGGAGAAGCAGACTCCCCGCCGAGCAGGGACTCAATCCCGGGACTCCAGGATCATGACCTGAGCTGAAGGCAGTCGCTCAACCAACCGAGGCACCCAGGAGCCCCAAGGAAGGATTTTTTTATGTATGAGAAATATTATAGTATTTCTGATGCAATGGAAAGATCCAGTGAAAAGGGAAAAATTAATGATGGAGGAGAGATGAACAATTGCAGGAATGAAGTTCTAGAGTAGGGAAGAGGGGCTGGATCCAGTGCAGAGGTGGTGAGACTGACTTACATAAAAGCACAAACAATTCACCTATAAGCAGGAAGAAAGGCAGAGTCTATGCCAGAAGGTTTGCAGGTGTGGTGGTAGGAGCCTGTGGAAATTTTTTTCTGGTTGCTTCTATCTTAATGAAATAATCAGTCGGAGCTGTTGGTAACATGCAGGAATCAAAGGGTATCTAATGTTCAAAGGAATATATTGGGTAGAGGTGAGGGAGTAGGACATTTGAATTTTTTTG